AGCCCACTCGGTTTCGGGCTAGCCCTGTCGGGTTGTCGGGCTAATCGGTTTATTAATATTTTATTCTCGGGTTCGGTTTGGCCCTAACCCTAAACTTCGGGTTGTCGGGCTAATCGGGCGGGTTGAACCATTTGAACTAAAATTAGAAACTGAAAGTGAGTACCCATATTTAGAGTAGGGATGACAACGGGGCGGGGCGGGACGGAATGGGGCGGGGCGAGAAGTATACTCCCCATCTCCGTCCTCAACGAAAAATTAAAAATAGTCCCTATCTACGTTCCCGCGGAAAATTTAGCGGGGACGAAAAATTCCGTCCTCATCAATTTTTAGTCAAAATATTAGATTAAAGTTGATTTAAATTTTATAAAACTAAAAATTTAAGTTTTCATTTAAATTTTATATATATATATATATATATATATATATATATATATATATATATATATATATATTTATTTATTTATTTTAAAGTATAATAATTATTCCATATATGTTAGGTTTCACATCACTTCTATAATAAAGAATAGTTTTCAATAGTTCGGGTTGTCGGGCTAGCCCTTTTAATTTCGGGCTAGCCCTATCGGGCATCGGGCTAATCGGTTTCGGGCTTGTCGGGCTAATGTATTTTATCGGGCTAGCCCATTCGGGCCATAGCCCTGTCGGTTTCGGTTTTTTTCGGGTTGGCCCATCGGGTTCGGGCTAAATTGACATCCCTAATTCCATGTGTCTTAAGACGACCACCATGTCTTAACTTCAGATTGAATTTAGCTGTGTTACTTCCTCCATCTATGTAGCAATTTAACAGACAACACAGCAACAAAGCAACAAAGCAACACAGCAATTAAAACAGTTTACTAATTATAAGTCAACAAAGCAACAAAACAGAGAAACAGACAAAGCAAATTGTGGTCCCCTTTCAAAGAAAAAAAAAAAGCTACTGCCCCATATGGTCCCGCTTTGAATACAAAAATAAATGGAGATGTACTGCACATTTAAAGTGAAACACCAACCACACCATTCAAAGCATATGTATATCAAACAACAAACAACCGCTGACATGTACAGAATATTTAAAGCAAAGCTAAGGAAATTGCACTTTATCAGTTCATTATATACCCACAACTCCCACAACTCACACTATATATACCACCAACAAGCATAACAAATCAACCTATTTCATATTTTACCACACATTAACAAAACACATACGATTTTGCAACTATTATGTTCGCTACATACACACAACACTCAAATTCACCTAGGGTTTCGCTATTATTCGCATACGTATACATACAACGCATAAAAATCCAAAATTACCGGGGGTATTGTTGTTGCCTCGTCTGACACCTTCCATTGTGCTTGCTCCCTACGTCCTCGCCTTCGCATTCGCCTTCGAGAAGATTAGGGTTACTGTGGTCTTCGCACTTCTGAGCTGGTTCTGTTCGTCAACGTTGTGGACTACAAGTACTAATCAGTTGACTAATACGCTTAGAGAAGAAGACCAATTAAAAGACCTGTTTGCCCTTCTCATAGACGGCCAAGAGACGGAGAAGTTCACAGAGGAGCAAAAGTGTCCACCGTTGAATAACGGTGGCTACTAAATGGCAATTTTAATTATGGAGGATGAAAATTGTCAACACCCTAATAAGTCTAGGACCAAAAATGGAATTAACTCTTTCATTAATTATATTAATTATAATATTTGTACTAATCTCTTCCAAAATTTAAATACATTACCATAATAATCACACAAAAGAATGAAAGAAAAATTATCAGAATAATTACCTTTAATAAAAATAATGAAATTATATTAAAAATTAATTATATATTAAGGTAAGTATAATTTATTTCATGCGAATAATATTATAAATTAAGTATAAAAATATATATGTGTATAAATTACCATAATAATTACACCGAAAAAGGTAAGAATATATAATTATTAGACAATAATCTAAATAATTAATTATTAAGGTAAGTATAATTTAGATAATTGTTAGTCAATCAATTTTCAATAGTACTAAAAAGTATTATTTTAAATTTTTATACATAAGATATAATATTATTAAATCGAAATAATTAAAAATAATGTGTTCATATTACAAAAGATTTAATAATAGTAATTTTTATTGCCTAATAGAATTTGACAATTATTAAACATTATTAATGGTAATTATTGTATGACATTTAATACTAAAATTATTAGGTAGAACTTTTATAATTAAGGTATAATATTATTAAATCAAAATTATTAAAAGTAATGTATCCACAATATAAAATAAATTATACTTGTCTTAAAAATTATTTTTTTAATTCTACTGATTCTATTACATTGTATTAATATAAATTTACAATAATCATTTATTAATATAAATTTACAATTATAAATTTGTATAAGGAAACATAGAAACTTCTGGTTAAAAAAAAAAAAAAAAAAAAATCTCTCCATTTCATTTTTCTCTTTCCTCACCCTCACATTCCCACTCTCTTTAGAAAAAGGCAAAGTAGGATGAGAAATGGTTTCTATCTACAACGTCTTCACGCCTCAATTTGATTTAGCTTTTGCTTGATTGTTGTTTTGCCCAACGAACCACATAAACCCTTAACGCTGCTTATATAAATCTTTTTTGACCAAGAGATAAAGCTTGTGAATTACTGTATGAATTTGGTTGTTATAGTATGAATTTGGTAATTACCATATTTAATAATATATATTATAAATTAATTAATTAATTAATTACCTTAATTAAAATTATTACACGGTAATATTCTGACCCAGAGATATGCATTTATACAAATTTTTTTGACCAGGAGATAATGTTTGTTAGTTACTATATGAATTTAGTTGTTACTTTATGAATTTGATAAGGGTGTTGCTATTTGCACCACCCATTGACTAAAATGAGGTATAAAGCACTTTGAAAATGTAAAAAGGTAGTAAATATGGGTGGTGCAAATAGCCTAATGGGTGGTTAAAATGCTATTTGCACCACCCTATTAAATTTACATTTATGACATCAAAATTTAATTATTAAAAAAAAAAAAACAAAAACGGAGCAGCCATCGCCTTCTCCGGTGAGAAGGCAGTCCGTCGCCTTCTCACCGGAGAAGGCGATGGCTGCTCCTTTTTTTTTTTTTTTTTTTTTCTGCCTCCTTGCCTTCCTGGTCCATTTTTTTTGTTTTTCGATATATGTTTATTTTAAATTTATGATTTCAATAGATAGTTTTTTGAACTTTATAATTTTAATACATATATTTTGTAAATTTACAATTTCAATTCATATTTTTTAGTTAATATTGTTGTTTGTGAAATGAAACTACGTGTAGAATGAATGGCAAGGAATCCAAAAGACTTAAATGGCTCTATATATATGTGGTGTGTGTGTGTGATGTACATGTCATACAATCAAAATCAAAATCAAAATTCGTGTGTGTGTGATGGACGGTTGGATAGATAATTTGTTTAGCTACAACGATCAAAATCAAAGCCAATTTCTTAGTTACAATGGTCCAAATCAAAATCAACAACATTACGAGGTATTTTAATTTTTTTTTTATTTGAATTGTTACTGAAATGTTACAATTGAACTTATGTATATTTGTTCATTGCTTTTATATATTATTTAAAAATTTAAGTTCATTGCTTTCATATATTATTTAGAAATTTAAGTTCATTGCTTTCATATATGTTCATTAATTTCATATATATATATATATATATATATATATATATATATATATATATATATATATATATATGTGTGTGTGTGTGTGTGTGTGTGTGTGTGTGTGAACTTAGTAAATTGAATATTACGTATTATTTATATATTCATTGCTTTTATATATTATTTAGAAATTTAGATATGTATATTTATTTTTGATTAGAAATTCATTGCTTTAATATATCAATATTGAATATATTATTTTGTCTTTATATATTAAGAGTTGTTATTTGTTTGTTTGTTTAGGACGAAAATGCAATCGAAATTTATGATGACAATAGAACTAAAGATGATGATCAAGTGAACCTAAATCTCGAGGTTGCATGCGAATTGTCTACAGAAACGGTAAACAAAATTCATACGCATACTTATTATTATTGTAAGCATGTAATTATTATTATTATTATTATTATTATTATTATTATTATTAATTAGTACGTATACTTAATTTCTGTTTTTGTTTTTGTTTTGTTTTTTTTTTTAATTTGTTGGTATACATGCATGTAATTATTATTATGATTATTAATTAGTACGTATACTTAATTTCTGTTTTTGTTTTTGTTTGTTTGTATTTTTTTTAATTTGTTGGTATACATGCATGTAGTCATTCACGCCTTAATACTCAACTTAACATTTTATAATCTTATACCCACTTTTTATGATTATAATTAATTAATTAGGTATTTTTATTATTGATACAAATAATTTTTTTATTAGGCATTCATGTCTCGCGAAGATTTAATTGAATGGGTTCAAAGTAGAGGTCGGGATCTCGGATATGTTATTGTGATTAAAAGATCCCGGAATAAAAGTCCTACAGTTATATTTCAGTGTGACCGTGGTGGTACTTACGTGCCAAAAAAAATCTCATCTAAAAACACGGGTACAAGAAAAATTGATTGTCCATTCCAATTGGAGGGGAAATACATACGTGTTGATGGTTGCTGGAGGGTTAGGGTAATATGTGGAGTACATAATCATGATCCTGCATTGCACCTTGAAGGTCACCCGTATGCAAGGCGATTATCAGGAAATGAAGTCGAATTGGTGGAAAATTTGTCAGCGATGCATGTGAAACCACGAGATATTTTAACGTCGGTGAAGATGCAAAATCCGGATAATGTTTCCATCACAAAAACCATATACAATGCACGCCAAAAATTCCGGATGATGGATAATGCAGGTAAAACTCAAATGCAAGTTGTTATGTCTTTTTTACATAACAATGGTTATGTGCATGAGAGTCGAACTAATAATGCAACAGATGAGTTAGAAGATTTATTCTTCGTTCATCCTAAATCTATGGAGAAGTGGCGTGCATTTACACATGTCCTGTTGATAGATGCAACCTATAAGACAAATAGGTACTCGATGCCTCTCGTCGAAATGGTTGGTGTAACTTCGACCAACATGACATTTTGCATAGCGTTCGCCTTCGCCTTCGCCTTCATGCAAGGCGAACGCTATGCAAAATGTCATGTTGGTCGAAGTTACACCAACCATTTCGACGAGAGGCATCGAGTACCTATTTGTCTTATAGGTTGCATCTATCAACAGGACATGTGTAAATGCACGCCACTTCTCCATAGATTTAGGATGAACGAAGAATAAATCTTCTAACTCATCTGTTGCATTATTAGTTCGACTCTCATGCACATAACCATTGTTATGTAAAAAAGACATAACAACTTGCATTTGAGTTTTACCTGCATTATCCATCATCCGGAATTTTTGGCGTGCATTGTATATGGTTTTTGTGATGGAAACATTATCCGGATTTTGCATCTTCACCGACGTTAAAATATCTCGTGGTTTCACATGCATCGCTGACAAATTTTCCACCAATTCGACTTCATTTCCTGATAATCGCCTTGCATACGGGTGACCTTCAAGGTGCAATGCAGGATCATGATTATGTACTCCACATATTACCCTAACCCTCCAGCAACCATCAACACGTATGTATTTCCCCTCCAATTGGAATGGACAATCAATTTTTCTTGTACCCGTGTTTTTAGATGAGATTTTTTTTGGCACGTAAGTACCACCACGGTCACACTGAAATATAACTGTAGGACTTTTATTCCGGGATCTTTTAATCACAATAACATATCCGAGATCCCGACCTCTACTTTGAACCCATTCAATTAAATCTTCGCGAGACATGAATGCCTAATAAAAAAATTATTTGTATCAATAATAAAAATACCTAATTAATTAATTATAATCATAAAAAGTGGGTATAAGATTATAAAATGTTAAGTTGAGTATTAAGGCGTGAATGACTACATGCATGTATACCAACAAATTAAAAAAAATACAAACAAACAAAAACAAAAACAGAAATTAAGTATACGTACTAATTAATAATCATAATAATAATTACATGCATGTATACCAACAAATTAAAAAAAAACAAAACAAAAACAAAAACAGAAATTAAGTATACGTACTAATTAATAATAATAATAATAATAATAATAATAATAATAATAATAATTACATGCTTACAATAATAATAAGTATGCGTATGAATTTTGTTTACCGTTTCTGTAGACAATTCGCATGCAACCTCGAGATTTAGGTTCACTTGATCATCATCTTTAGTTCTATTGTCATCATAAATTTCGATTGCATTTTCGTCCTAAACAAACAAACAAATAACAACTCTTAATATATAAAGACAAAATAATATATTCAATATTGATATATTAAAGCAATGAATTTCTAATCAAAAATAAATATACATATCTAAATTTCTAAATAATATATAAAAGCAATGAATATATAAATAATACGTAATATTCAATTTACTAAGTTCACACACACACACACACATATATATCTATATCTATATATATATATATATATATATATATATATATATATATATATATATATATATATATATATATATATATATATATATGAAATTAATGAACATATATGAAAGCAATGAACTTAAATTTCTAAATAATATATGAAAGCAATGAACTTAAATTTTTAAATAATATATAAAAGCAATGAACAAATATACATAAGTTCAATTGTAACATTTCAGTAACAATTCAAATAAAAAAAAAATTAAAATACCTCGTAATGTTGTTGATTTTGATTTGGACCATTGTAACTAAGAAATTGGCTTTGATTTTGATCGTTGTAGCTAAACAAATTATCTATCCAACCGTCCATCACACACACACGAATTTTGATTTTGATTTTGATTGTATGACATGTACATCACACACACACACCACATATATATAGAGCCATTTAAGTCTTTTGGATTCCTTGCCATTCATTCTACACGTAGTTTCATTTCACAAACAACAATATTAACTAAAAAATATGAATTGAAATTGTAAATTTACAAAATATATGTATTAAAATTATAAAGTTCAAAAAACTATCTATTGAAATCATAAATTTAAAATAAACATATATCGAAAAACAAAAAAAATGGACCAGGAAGGCAAGGAGGCAGAAAAAAAAAAAAAAAAAAAAAGGAGCAGCCATCGCCTTCTCCGGTGAGAAGGCGACGGACTGCCTTCTCACCGGAGAAGGCGATGGCTGCTCCGTTTTTGTTTTTTTTTTTTTTTTAATAATTAAATTTTGATGTCATAAATGTAAATTTAATAGGGTGGTGCAAATAGTATTTTGACCACCCATTAGGCTATTTGCACCACCCATATTTACTACCTTTTTACATTTTCAAAGTGCTTTATACCTCATTTTAGTCAATGGGTGGTGCAAATAGCAACACCCATTGAAAACTGTAATATTGAAATCATTACACGAATCTCATTACAGATGATATTGTTGCTTCCCATTTTCCTAAAATTTTGTGAACTTTGTATGGAAAATTAGTAAGAATGTGTATAAATATTCAATCAATGTATACTGTGATATTGCATATGACAATGGAAAATTGTTCATTAATTACCCGGTAAATTGCAAATTAGTAACGGCGTGTATATATTCGGCCATATGTAAAATATTTTTTTTATTCATAATATTATAGACGTGTGTTAATAAATTTGTGAACTTTGTATGGATTTAAAATTTGTGCATAACACAATAATTTGCCACCACCTTGTTTATTGAATGGATTGAAAATTAATAATTTGTACACGGTAATTAGCATTTTTTTTGAAAGGATAATTAGCATATTTAATTTAATTATTATAATAATACATAATTTTCTATATCTCTTGCGCGGAATATGTATGAAATATGTTAGGAATATTCCATTTTATACACACAGAATAAATTTTATAAACTAATTAATTAATTACCAAAAACGAATACGTAATATGTATGGTAACACGTTTAAATTGATTTTTTTTTTTTTGGGGGGGGGGGGGGGGGAGGGGGGGTCGAAATTGGTTTGAAGGATTTTACTTTTATATAGATATAGATATAAATATCAGTAAAAATTAGGAATCTTATAAAAATAGATTCTTAGCTAAATATAACTTATGTATGTATTTGGCTATGTAATTTTTATTTTTTATTTTTCAAAACAGAATAGGTAATCTACATAAAATACAAAATTTAGAATTAATTTTTGAATAATATCAGTACAAATTAGGATAAAATCTAAATAAAATTATAGATAATTACGCCACAGATATAGAAGATTATAAGCAAAATTAAGCAATCTTATCTCCCCTCACCAAATGATAAAGATGAAAAAGAATTCAAGCATTAAGGCCATAACAGTTTTAAAAAGCCCCAACACATGATATGCAATAACATATTAAACCCAGTGGCATTACATCTTGAAATTTCAATCTTCACCCACTTCTGTAGCATGTTGAAATTAATTTCTTAGGATTTTTATCTTTCATTTATTGAAGTTAAAGCCTGTGAATACAACCAATGCTCTGCTCAACTAAACCAAACTAAGCCTAGCTAATTAGATTTCTCCATCATGTATTCAGATTATCTTAATTCACTAACTAAAGAAATGTTAAGGTAATGAGTTTATCAATCAAATCTAATAAGTTGGAAATAAATAATCATATTGAAAATCTGAAATACTCAGTAAAACAGAAATGCACTTCTAGTGTCTTTGTATATATTTTTCGTTATATTGTATTTGGCATTAGATGATTTCAATTACAAATCAAATCTGACCAACATTTATTTGTTTTTTACAGGCAAGCCAAGTTCATTATGTTTTAATCACTCCATGTGCAAAAAATTGCAGCCTTAAAACAGTATTACCAGGGTATGTTTTAAAGTTTTTTTTGCTCTATTCAATATGCTTAGTTGATAATGTTACTCTGTTAGGCACAAATATGAAAAACATATATAAAACATGCCTCCATTATTTTTAAAACAGCCACAACATAGATAAAAATTAAATGTGGCATTCATCACTGCTTTCAAAAATAAATAAGGAATAAGGAATAATATAAACAGTAAAACATTAATAAGGATTTCAAGATATAATTCGTCATAGCAAAACACAGTAAAATATGCAGGCAAAAAAACATGAGATTCTGAAAAACAATTACATCAAACAACTTAAACTTGCATTCAAAAAAAAAAAAAAACAACTTAAACTTCTTAGATAAAAACCATATAACATATCCCCAAAAACAGCTGAATTAAAACTTCTCCTTCTTTATCACATCATCTCTTAGTCTCTTAGGAACTTCAATTTCCGTGAACTCATCCATGAGACACCTCTTCACACATGCAGCAGCACTTTTGCGTGATTTCCTTCCAGATACTTCAATCAAAATCATTCTGAACACCTAAAATCCTTGCAGCTATCCAATACTCAGATAATTGCATAGGAGGAAAATTTAATAAAGAATTCAACTTGGACAAACTACCATTAAAACAATATCTAAAAACTGTAATTCCAAAAATAGGCTTTCATTACCTCCTCCCTACTGTAAACATCTTCCAGCTTAGTCACCACAATCTCACTACTTGAACTACCAATGGATATATAGGAAATGAAAGCCTAGACCTGGACTCTATCTTCCTCAAAGGAGTCATCTCTAATGGCAGACTACAACAATAATAAAAAATTATATTAATAACCAAATAATAATAATTACCTACACTGGCAGATTAAAAATAATAATAAATACATTAAAAAACCTCTGAAATTGATCTTAAAACTAAAAATGAGAAACCTTTCTCTGAAATTGATAAACTCAATGAGTGTTGATTGAACAACACTTGGGTGACATCATAGGAGCTGCAAAGTCTCACCCCTCCATCTAAAATCAAATAAAAACCGTTAGTATGTGTCTGTGTACATAAAAATAGTAGTACGAACATTAAAAATAAGGCTTATACTCAGTATTAACACCATGTTTAACCGTACAAAACTGTAGCAAAACAACCACAAGATCAGTGAAGTTTGATTGAAAGAATGGCTCAATTTTGGCTACATATTCATCCCAAAACATACACCTTGGTTGATTAACCCTACAAATAAGTGTGTAGTAGTTTAATGATACTCAGACTGTACATTAAAAAATTAACAGAAAAAACTATAGATTGAATATATACTTACTTCGCATAGATCTCATATATGCAAATCTGAAATCTGAAAAGAGAACAACTTACTAATTTCGGATGTTAAAAACTGAATGAAACAGTGTTACGTTAAATGCATGTACCTCTACATCATGGAAACAACCTCTATACTCTTGATTCTAGATGACCATTTTCTTTCCAACCACGTGCGTACAACTCTGACCTTGATTGCGCTTCTTGTTTTGAAGGTTGAGCAATCACGTTGCAGTATGAATAGACCCATGATGGAGAGAAGACAATAACGTATAAGTACCCTACTGTATATCGAGTGTTTGTATTCGATATTTATGATGTATATATAGTCTGAAGTTGGTACAACTCAAAAGTTGGGTACTGATAGGCTTATTATGGTTTTATTAGATCTCATATATTAGGGTAATATTATTTTCTAACCATATTTATTTGTTATTATCCTTATTTGTTTTATTTTATGTTATTAATATTTAGTAGCCATAAATATTACGGTAATATTATTTGCTACCATATTTAGTTGTTATTATTTCCTTAACTAATTAGTAAGACACGGAACATTTAGGAAACATATATAGAGTAATAAGTATGTATATGCGGATATGAATAATATATAATTTTTATAATTAATT